TTTTTTTTTTCCCTCATTTCCCCTGTTTCCCTTTTCTTGTTTCTTTTTGCAGATTGGAGATCGAGTTTGCGTGAAGCGTTCTGTTGCCGAGCCTCGGTATGCTTGGGGTGGTGAAACTCATCACAGTGTTGGAAAAATTAGTGAGATAGAGAATGACGGTCTTTTGATAATTGAAATTCCAAATCGCCCTATTCCATGGCAGGCTGATCCATCTGACATGGAGAAGGTAGAGGATTTCAAGGTAATGTTAATATACCTGCATGAGTTAATTTACGTTTTCTGGTTTAAGATGTGACTACACGACTGTTTTCAATTCCTTATTATTTTTCACCTGCACAGGTTGGGGATTGGGTTAGGATTAAAGCTTCTGTTCCCTCACCGATATACGGTTGGGAGGACGTTACAAGAAACAGTATAGGTATTATCCACAGCTTGGAGGAGGATGGTGACATGGGAGTAGCATTTTGCTTTCGGAGCAAACTTTTCCGCTGTTCAGTGACTGATGTTGAGAAGGTACCTCCCTTTGAATTGGGGCAGGAGATTCATGTGATCCCATCTGTATCTCAGCCTCGGCTTGGGTGGTCAAACGAGTCACCCGCTACTGTTGGAAAAATTGTGAGAATCGACATGGATGGTGCTTTAAATGTAAGCCTTTTCTGATCCGTTCTATCTAACCATCAAATTTAGGTGGTGTTGTGTTGAATTTTTCTTTAAAGTGATTCAGTGATGATTAATGTTTTATCCATCACCCTAAATATTTCTTAGGTCAAAGTTGCTGGAAGGCATAGTTTATGGAAGGTCTCCCCAGGAGACGCCGAAAGGCTTCCGGATTTCGAAGTGGGCAACTGGGTGCGTTCGAAGCCAAGCCTGGGCACCAGACCAAGCTACGACTGGAACAGCATCGGGAAAGAAGGCCTGGCCGTCGTGCACAGCGTGCAGGACACCGGGTATCTCGAGCTTGCCTGCTGCTTCCGCAAGGGCCGATGGAGCACCCACTACTCGGACGTCGAGAAGGTCCCCGCCTTCAAAGTCGGACAGCACGTCCGGTTCCGGGCTGGGCTTGTCGAGCCTCGCTGGGGCTGGAGGGGTGCTCAGCCCAGCTCATGCGGGGTCGTCGTGGGCGTCAATGCCGATGGCGAGGTCCGTCTCGTTCTCCGTGGCCCGCCGGGCGGCGGGCTGTGGAAGGCTGATCCAGCAGACCTCGAGCCCGAATTGATCTACGAGGTTGGCGAGTGGGTCCGGCTGAGCAGGCACTCAGGCGACTGGAAATCGGTCCGGTCAGGCTGCGTGGGCGTGGTGCAGGGGCTCGGGTACGAGAATGACGAGTGGGACGGGAATTTGCATGTCGCTTTCTGTGGGGAGAATGAGCTCTGGATTGGACCTGCGGCCGACTTGGAGAAAGCCGAACGGTTCGTTGTGGGGCAGCGTGTGAGGGTCACGCCCTCAGTCAACCCTCCGCGGTTCGGCTGGTCAGGACACGACCATTCGAGCGTGGGGACAGTTTCGTCAATCGATGCTGATGGGAAGCTGAGGATATACACGCCCGCAGGTTCGAAGGTTTGGGTGCTTGACCCCTCGGAAGTCGAGGTCGTGGAGGAACAGGAGCTGAGGGTCGGGGACTGGGTCCGGGCCAGGCCGGGCTTGTCCAGCCCGACCCACCAGTGGGGGGAAGTGTCGTACTCGAGCATTGGGGTGGTGCACCGCATGGAGGACGAGGATTTGTGGGTTGCATTCTGCTTTCTCGACCGTCTGTGGGTTTGCAAGGCGTGGGAGATGGAGAAGGTGAGGCCGTTTATTGTTGGTGATAGGGTGAGGATAAAGGAAGGTCTGGTGACCCCAAGGTGGGGTTGGGGCATGGAGACGCACACTAGTAAGGGGGAGGTTGTGGGGGTCGATGCAAACGGGAAATTGAGGATTAAGTTTAGGTTGCGTGAAGGGAGGCCGTGGATTGGGGACCCTGCAGATATTGTGCTTGACGAGAGTTGATTACCCGAAAGAAAGCCTTTATTAGTGTAATGTGTTGCTAGTTTGTTGTGTTGTGGCTATGGTTGAGTTCCCTCGTTGACGAGGGGCTCGGGTGGGGACCTAATCGAGTTGGGGGTGTCGTAAATGGCGTGTGAAAAAGATGGATGGGTTATGAGGGAGAGGGGAAGAGCGGTCTGGCTCGGTTGGCGTTGGGAATTAGTTGTCTGAATTGGTTCTTTGTGTTATTGAGGTGTAAGAGGGGATATTTGTGCTTGTAGATTATGTATACCAATAAAGGGTGTAGTTTGGTCTTTTGTTTTGTTTATATTATATGTTTGTATTATAGAATATACCCTTTCACCTTTTGAGCCAGGATCGTTTTATAGTTATGTGAATGTCAGCTGTTTTTTTTTTCATGTATTTTGATTGTTTGTAATAATCGTGGCTTTGGGGTTTGTTTAACTTAGGGCTGAGCATGGGACTCGAAGAATTTCGAACCGTTTCGAATCGAACCGAAATCACTCTGAACCAAAAATAACCGTTGACTGTTTGATTTTCTCCTAACCGAACTGAACCGAAAAAATAATTGGTACGGTTTTGAAGATTTCACAAATATCCGTACCGAGAACCGAACTGAACCGTCCCATACCGTATCGAACCGAAGAACCGAAATTAAGAACCAAATTGTAACATTAGATGTGTTATTAATATATTTTATGTCAACTTTGATTCTATATAATATAGTAATAAATATCAATTTTCACTTATATTTCATGCTTAATAATACTTGATCTACAATTAAATTTTTTCTATTATAAAATAATTATTTAAAATAATATGAAAGGTTAGAGAATATTTTTTTAAGAAATATATATTATATATTGTTTGAATTTTAAATTTCAATATTAATTGCACAAATTTAGTCTTAACTAAAATATAGAGTTACTTCTAGAGTTGATTTTAAAATAAAATCTTTAATATGAGGAAATATTGATGAATGTTGGTTTTATAAAAGCATATAAAAATTAAATAACTAAAATTTAGAGTTACTTCTAAAATTGATTTTAAAATAAAATTTTCAATATGATGAATTATTGATGAATGTTGTTTTTTTAAAGCATATAAAAATCAAAATATAACTAGGTCTCATTCAAAAAAAAATTTTAAAAAAAAATAAAAAAATCTCCAAAGATCCGAACCAAACCATACCGACTGAACCGTCCCAATAGTCCCGAATACCGAACCGAACCGAAAAATAAAATCTCCGTACTGAACCGAATCGACTTTTTGGTACGGTTCTGGGGATTTATCTATCTTCGAACCGTACCCACCTACGCTCACCCCTAGTTTGGCTTGTCATTTGGTTAAATGTTGCAGGTACACACATCAACCTTGGTAAAATCAGTTAGATTTCCTGTTGATTCAAGTAGTTTTCTGAATTTTCACAACAAACATGAGCTTAAACAAAGTTACTTTAATGTGTGTTTTTGTACTTTGTTCTTTAAAGCTACAACTTAAAACACACACATACACACACACACACACACACACAAATGCTAAGAGGGTGCTTGGATACAAAAAATCCCAAAAAATTCCATCATGTCAATAAATGACTGAGACTGCAGATACCAGCAAAAAGAGAAGCTACAAATTCACATGACAAAACTCTAACCAAGGCAATAAATTGCAGCACCAGGAAAAAAGATATCAAACCAACCACTTAAAATTTCTTCTAGAATACGTTGTTTTATTAGGTTCGGGCTCACTTAGTATCGGTGTCACTCGATTCGTGATGCCACATAGAGAAGCCCTCGATGAGAGCCTCTCTCATCCACGGGTACCGACAGCTGTCGGCTGCTTCTGTTACACTTAACCATTTTCTGCTTCGAGTGCTTTGCTCAGGCCACGACTCGAGCTCTTCTTCCACAGCCATAGCAAACATTGCAGCTCGACAACACCCATCTGGGTTGCATTCATCTTGATGGGTTTTGCTCTTAAACTCGTAGAACCCAAGAAATTTCTAAAACAATCATATATATATTAAAAATATAACAGGGAGGTTAAAGAGAATAGCTAGCAAGGCTCTTTATTTCTTTCACCGTTCTTTGAACAATGAGCTCATTTGATTTTAGCATTTTGTAACACATGCATCAATACCTAATAGTGATGAAATCATAATTGCTTCAAGAAATTGTATCCTCTGAGGCTTTAGCATTTAATTGATCAAATTTCTTATTTTATTTTTTTTTTAAAAAAAAAATAAATAGACTTAGTTGCCAAGTTTGGCAGGTGAGCCCCGATTGTTTGGACAAGTACAATGCACATGCCAAAGGAATGTAGAAGAAAAGCAAGATTCTCACCACTATCTTTCCTCGAACGCCTGCTTCCTCAACAGCTTCCCTAAGTGCGGCCTCTTGAACTGTTTCATCATTTTCCCAGCCTCCCTGCTCAAAAATGAAAATATAGTCAAGTGCCTATCAGATATGACTCATAAAGAAAGTAAAAGACCATGTGATAGCCATGGTACAGACTACCTATTTTATCCCCGTAAACTGAAAAACCAATAAAAAACAAGACTGGAAATGAAAACATTATACAAATCGGGTGTTAATTTCACCTGCTCCCTTGTATGACGTCCAACTACAATAAAATAAAGCAATACCCGCCAATTTAAAGTTGCATCACTTTGCCTCTCCAGTTACTCATAGTAGTTCTCCAATTACCCAATTGTTCACAAAATTGCAACTGATATCGCATTTGATATACATAATCTTCACACAGGCAAAAATTACTTTCTAGTCTCGAGATAAGCACAAAATTGAAGGAGAGAGAGAATAACGAATGTCTGATACCGATTTTAGGTGGCTATGCATGCACAAGATACAGAATTAAAGATAAAGCAGCGAATAAGTACCTTTGGGAACAGTAGTCCAGAGCCGCTAGGTGAGTTGATCATGAGCACCTCTACAACCTTGTTTGAATCCTCACAAGTACTATTTTCCAAGTCTCTATACCTATAGGGAATGCACCTGGCAAATAACATCCTCATTTAACATATGATGATAAAAAGATCAGGTACTTAGGAATAGATGAACAAAAGGCCGAAAGAACCATTTCACACCCCCTTCTATTAAAGTTGCAAAGAAAATGTTATGAAGAAATCAGAGAGTAACCAAATATCAGAGTAAGGCAGGCTAGCAGATGCACAAAGTCATGCTAGCTGATTCGGTATTTTGTAGAACACGTACGTAACATGGAAATCCATCAGTTTATAATATAACGTTAGGTACTAAATATTATCCATTGAGAATCACAAGACGAATCAATAAAGTGTTCGAATTTTCATTGCTAAAAAATGGAAAGAACGTACAATGACATAACACCAACAACTCACTAAAATTATCATCTTCAGCCAGTTCAGGTCCGAGGTCTAAAACTTCTCAATTCTAATCCTCCGTGATTTACTAGGCATGTGTTTCATTTTTCAGCAACAGCAAATGCTAATGATTTCGCACACTATATAACCAATTTAAATAACAACTGTCAGAATGAACCAATACAGGGCATAGTTTGTAAAGACACGAGCTTTACAGTCGTAATTCAAAAACAACAGATCAATCGACCAACGAAGGCCGAAGACGATACTTAAAAGTGATATTGTGCCGCTAAAGATACAGCCCGTTGCATCAAGAGCTCTATTCGGATCAAATTTGCGAAAGAACTCACAATATACAGCATTATCTAATGCATCAAACTATGAACAGTCAAACATAACAAAATCAATATAATCTTTATTCTTGGCGCACAATTCAATTTTTTTTTTTTAATGGGATTTAAGGATTCATAAGAACAATACCCAGCAACAAGGCGAAAACCCGAATCATACCGCTGCAGTTGCCTCCCCGTCCTCGCCACCAAATTATCACACATAATTGTTTAACAATTACAATCTGAAACAAAAAAAGAGGCAACTTTACAGTGATTCTGGGCCGTGAGCTGCATTTACCGGCGGCATAAGCCGGCTGTGTCTTGATATGGGGTTGTTATTCGCCATTAGATGTCCTGTGATACGATGAGAAAAGAAACACGGGATAAGAGAAGAAACATTAATGGAGGAGGGCCCGACAGGCGAAAACACAGAAACAACAAAAAGGGATTAAAGAAAGATGAAAATTAAAACAAATGGGTCAATCAATCAATGATGTAAATGAATCTGCAAAGGGCAATTGGTGTTTTTGTGCTAAAAGGCAGTGCATTTTTATCGGACCTTTTTTTTTACTACTTTTGGGGAGTGGAATTTTGTGAGAGCCGCCGGAAACGGATCGAGAGGAGAGAGAGGGTGTTAAATTGTAAATCCCTTGAGACCCACTTGCTCAAAATCTCTCTGTAAATAGGAATCGGCTCATTTGATGAAACGACAATATCTGTCCAAATATCGGATATAAAAATATCAAAAGAGAAAGAACATGCGATATTTTTATTTGTTTTATGATATTCCTTTTATTTTTAAGTGCTCAATTCTCAGTTCCAGTTTGCCGGAACTCATAAATCTGGTGTACTACAGATTTAGAGACGTTTGTTGTTGTATCTTTGGGGAAGTTACGTCTGAACCGTTAACTGCCACACGGGGCGTTCTTGCGAAAAGAGTTTTACTCGCCTCGGCTAAAATCTTTTCGTTTTCCAATTGTAATTTACTTTTCAGTTCAATTGTGATTTTCTATTTTTAGATTATTTGTAAGAATTGAAAAATACATATCAGTTCGTAGGATTTCCGTGTAGTTTTACACCAAGTATCCAACAATATCTATATTTGTAAGAAAGTATTATCATTTTGATCCACCGAAGACACTTATGGGTGTTGAATTGATGAAGAAAAGTTTTATCTTGTGAAGATTTTGAAAAATCAGTATATATCTTGAGATTTTTTTTCTTCACTACATATATATGATTCAGGGTCGTCTCCAAAAATTCGAAGGCCCCAGACAAGTTTTTTCTTTTCGAATTTTTCGGATTTGAACTAACATGGTAATTAGGGCTATTTGCAGATAAAATCATAAATTTAAACGAGATTATTAAATAAATAAATAAATAATTAAAAAAAAAAATCTTGTTTTTTTTGAACTTGGAATTGATAAACTACCTCCGGGCTACAAATATCTTTAATAAATTATATTCAACCAATCATGAGGACAACAAAGCGTAGAAAATAAAAATTATGTCACTACAAAGAATATTTATTCTCACATAACTTGTTCTGACCGAACATCATACAAAAACAAATGAAATATTTAGGGCCTCAATTTCCCACACAAATTACATATTTTGTCATTAGCCACTTCATTTGTGTAATGGCTTGTGTAATGACTCAAGTCCATATTTAGCCATTAACCCCTTCATTTTTTATAAATATTGTGTAAATAAACAAAATCCAACACAAAATACATAATATTAAAATAATGAGGCCTTATTTGTGTAGATAGACAAAACCCAACACAAATAAATATTATTAAAAAAAATGAGGCCCCAAATAAAATGGAGGCCCTAGGCCCATGCCTAGGTTGCCTACTCCCTGGAGCCGCCTATGATATGATTAGTGTTGTTAAATTAAACGAGTCTGGCTCGACTCGGCTTGAGCTCGGCTCATTAAGGCTCGGTTCGGCTCGAGTTCGAAGTCTTAACGAGCCCAGCTCGAGCTCATTTAAAGCTCGTTTGGTTAACGAGCCGAGCTCGAGTCGGCTCGATAAGGCTCGAAAAATAGAATTTATGTATTTTTTTATAGTTTGACTTGTTAAAACTCGAGATCGGCTCGTTAAGGCTCGAGCTCGAGGCCTTAACGAGCCGAGCTCGAGCTCGATTTTTAGCTCGTTTACTTAACGAGTCGAGCTCGGCTCGGCTCGTTAAGAGCTCGAGGTCGAGCTCAAACATCTTAAGCTCGAGCTCGACTCTGCTCGTTTACAGCCCTAGATATGATTATAATGAATAACTTCATATTTAAAGAGAGAATATTTCACAAACTAATAAATGTTTTTTACTGTTTTCTCTATGACAATTACAAGTGACAGATAAGACTTTGGGTTTTAAATAAAAAAAATAATACTTATATGTTAGTAGTCAAAGTTTTTCTGCATAATAAAATATAAAATAATTTTTAATGAAAAAAATAAGACAAAGTTAAGACCATTATATTAAAATAAAATAGTCCAAATAATCCAACTGTCCTATAAATATTAAAATACACAATAGACTGGATGGCACTTGGCAGGCGCCCGACCCCTACACTGACATAATAGTCTACCGATCAAAAAAATTTAACAGATCCGAAAAAAAAAAAAAAAAAAAACAGAAAACAAGTGTCCATGGCGGCGATCTCAGCTCCTACTCCAATCATCAAAGTCGCCGCCATCTGCGGTTCCCTCCGCAAAGGTTCCTATAATCGCGGCCTCCTCCGTGCCGGTAAGATCGATCTCCCTTTTTTCACAGTTTTCGTTGTTTATGCTCGGCGCTCGTTGTACACTGTGCTGTATTGGTTGTTCCCTTCTCGAACTTTCTGGAGAAGTAGTAGCTATGAACTTGATTTGCCTCCCAATTTTGAGTGTTTAGTGGTTATTCTTGCTTTTTCGAAGTTCAGAGCTTGGAACTCATTGTCATGTTCTGTTGAATATTTCCTCTTTGAACAACAACAACAACAACATACCAACTTGTTGGGGGTCTGGGGGGTCAGTTGTACGGGTCAGTTGTACGCAGACCTCACCTTTGTAATTATACAAGGAGGCTGTTTTCGTAGCGACTCAAGGTGCGTTGCCTCGTTTGATATATTTTTTTTTCCTAGAAACTTCACTAATAGAAGAAGCAATAGAATTTAATTGAGTCATTTTGAAGAGACTGAAATTTTACTTTGGGTTGTTGTTCCCTTGTCGAATTTTCTTGGGAAGCAGTAGCTATGAACTTGATTTGCTTCCCAATTTCGAGTCTTCGGTGATTATTGTTGCTTTTCCGAAGTTCAGTGCTTGGAACTCGTTGTAATGTTCGGTTGAATGTTCCTCTTTGAGGGGACTGAAATTTACACTGTGTTCTTGTTCCCTTCACAAACTTTCTGGAGAAGAAGTAACTATTAACTCGATTTGTTTCCCAATTTTGAGTCTTTAGTGGCTATTATTGCATCTTCTCGGAAATTCAGGGCTTGGGACTCATTGTTATGTTCTGTTCAATGTTCCTCTTTGAGGGGACTGAAAATTTACATATAACTTCTGCCCGATTCTAATTCGCGTCCCCTCATTTTGACCCCCGTCTGATTTATTTTGTTTTGTTTCACTTCTTGGAATGTTTACTGCTGTTTAGCTATGGATATATCGAAGTCGATTGAAGGGTTGGAGATTGAGTATGTGGACATATCACCATTACCGTTTCTGAACACGGATCTTGAGGTAAATGGGACATACCCACCTGCTGTAGAGGCATTTAGACAGAAGATTCGTGCTGCTGATAGCATACTCTTTGCGTCGCCCGAGTACAACTACTCTATCACTGGTATTAAATCAGTAACTTATGTTCTCTGTTGATTTGGAATTTTACATTTTGATCTGCGGAGTGAATGGATTTTTCAGTTTCTTGAAGCTCATCACATAGCTACTAGTTAACTGGATTACTGTTTGATGCATTGTTTCTTATGAGTAAGACCGGGTTTCTGAAGAGTTTTGATGCATGTGTTGCCTTCTGGGGACTTAAGCGAACCTTTATTGTTGAATGATGGCAATTTAATCTTATCAACAATTGATGTTGCATTTAGCTATGTTTGTCGTATAACTATGCCATGTCAGTCGACCCTTTAGTGAATTTGATTAATGGGTATAGGGACTAGAGTAAGTGCATTTTTAGGTTCTCATAGTTTTCATGACAACGGCAGCTAACGGGTTATTGGTCTGTGCTCAGATCTATTTTTTCGGATGAGTATGTGTGTGTTCTTTAATACTTTCATGCGTTCTATTGTAATTTGTAAATGCAGCCACCAACTCCCCCTTCCCCGTTATCCTAATTAAACAATTAAGATAATAAGAAAGATTAAATGAACTCAATGGAAATTGGAACCAATTCCACTTTTACATCATTTAATCTGTTTCATTGGTCAAAGAGATATTTAGAGTTCGTGGAGCCAAACAACATTTTCTGCATTAAATTTTAAAGCCATACATTTTCCTCATTAACTGATTTTTTCTACTAGGACCTCTGAAAAACGCGATCGACTGGGCTTCCAGGGCACCAAACGTCTGGGACGACAAAGCTGCTGCAATCGTGAGTGCGGGCGGTGGTTTTGGCGGTGGACGGTCACAGTATATTCTCCGCCAGACGGGGGTTTACATCAACCTTCATTTCATCAATAAGCCGGAGTTCTTCCTTAACGCATTCCAAACTCCCTCTCCATTCGATAGTGATGGCAACTTGATCGATGATGCCTCCAAGACGAGGTTGAGAGCCGTTCTCTTGTCCTTGCAGGCATTCACAATCCGGCTCCAGGCTTAGTGTGTGCAGGTATACCTCCCAGTAGGTGAGGTAATATTGTTCAAGTATATTCATTATCAGTATGTGTGTAATGGTACTACTCTTGTATTGTGTTTGTGTGTTTTAATGGGATTCATGTACTTTGTCTAAAATTTATAGCGATGTATGAATAAGGTTCATCATAAGATTTGATGAACCGTTTTTCTTGTTAGACATCTTGAATCAGCTGCAGTGCTGTCTTTCAACTACAGACTGTCAATAAACGTCGATCTGTGGTCTATTGCTTGTGGCTTGTGCAATATAAATATTTACTGGTGTGCTAACTGTTGAGCAGTGGTGCATCTAATAGCTCGGTTGACACTTGACAGTGTTATAAATGTGGTCTCAGTCTTGATTGATAACCAAATAAGACTCGGGTTTTGTAGGGAGATTTTTCTTTCTATGCTTTTATATGTGCAATTATTCTCTTGATGAAATCTCCATAATTTCACAGGTGGTCTACTCAAGCCAGGTATCAATCACAGAGCTATCAAGTTCTATAGTGCTAATGACAAAGGTGTAACCTGTATATGGTTTCTGTTTGACTTTAAACAACGTCAAACGAAAAAAAAATTGTTGAAAGTATATTACGTAATTGATATAGTTTCTGGTCGGCCAGACAGTCTGGTGGTTGGCCAGCGAAATCAGTCGATCTCCTCCAAACGTGCGCCTTATCCGCCCAAATATTTTCTTCGCATATAAATAGGCCAACAGCCAACCCGGTTGATCATAAAATTATAAACTGTAACCGGATAGGAGTATGGAGGCTCCGACTCTGGCGACCGGGCTAGTCTTCGTGTTTTTTTCTCTTTAAAAAATTATCTTGATCCAACAATTCTAGGTTGGGCCACGAATCATGGGGTCGGCTGAATCTAGACCGTGAACGATGGATCGGACCGAAACCAGATCAAAAATTAAATTTTGGCCCCAACCGAGAACCGAGGGTGTCGGGTTGGTTTCAGGTTGGACCCGAAAGTCAAATTTTTTATAGAATTGAACCAGAATAGGCAAATAGCCCATGTAATACACGCGTCCGATTTATATTTAGGTCCGGGTTGGCAGCTCGACTCGAATTGGTGGCAATGTCTACCTAGTTCTACATAGTTAAATCACTCTCCATAAATGAATATTTTACCAATTTTTATGTATAAAAGTTCAAATTTATTTATCCTTTATTTTTTCAAACAATAATTATATTAAAAACTTAAAACTCAAATGAGTGCAATGGAAGTGTTAACTGACATTGGAACTAGAACAAAATTTGGACCACCCCTTGAAATTATACACATTGTGACCAAAGGGTACAAACTCTACAAAGGCGACTAAAACTACATTATGGATACTAAAAACTACACGCAGGTGGACTAAACAAAACGAACACTAAGAAAAACAAAACGCACACCCAATAAACAAATAAAGTAAGACCTAAACCCTATCTACACGACCAACCAACCCGGCACACGAGAAACCACCCACAACAGAGAATCCTAGCAGAACTTCATATCTAGACTCCAGACCCAAATTGCGGTCAAACTCGAACCGCCTACACAGATCTCATAAGGAGGCGATTCTCAGTCTAGATATGAGCTCCATCAACCTTCAACGCCAGGGAAGAGCCGCCTCGAAAGACGACAACGAAGGAGTCACATCGGAAGAGCCCTATCATTTAACAGAATTAGACATTTATTATTGATTATACATATTATACATGATTATACATATATTATTGATTATACATATTATACACATATTATTTATTATTGATTATACATATTATACATGATTATACATATATTATTATTATTGATTATACATATTATACATAATTTATGACGAAATGTATACTTTATTAAAAAAAAAAAATACATATTCATGCTACAAGTGTTAGATTTTTATTTATATTATTTGTTAAAACGTGACATTTCAGTTTGAAAATATGCATATATGTTAGAAAAAAAATATGAATGTTTAAATGTTAGGCATGCCTAGCGGGGATTGAAAAATGATAAGGTTCCTCGTTGATGATTAAGTATATCTTCAAAACCAATAAGTCAAGAACTATGAAGCCAACAAAAGGCTGTGAAAAATAGACATAATCTAATAATATTCTGCAATATATGTGCATGTCCACATCAAGTACCGTTGTTGAAACATAGTTTCATTAGGATTCCCTATGAACTATCTTGAATCGACTCAAAAGAAAACTGCATTTCTTAGCAATCATAAAACATAATGTCCACAGCATTGAGTATTGAATATAGCTACATCAAATGCATGCATAACTTACTGGCCATTCAACAGTAAATCCCCTTTTTCCTAATCCTAGAGTCCATCTCACATAAAGCATAAGGACATCGTAACTAGACGAACTAGCTAATCATTATTCTACCACACAGCATTGTATAAATTCTTCGAGGATTGACAGTTCAGAGTTTCACTTATATATAAACATCTAAACAAGAACTACTATACCTTCTTCATCAAGCAAATTTGCTTCATTAGCCTCCTTTAGACCATTGGCCCTCAATATGTTTTGCTTAATCACCATTCATTTCTTTTTTTAATAACTTTTAGGGTGTCTTTGTTTATAAATTTTCTCAATCTTTAGTTCTATACTCAAAATATAACTCATCTTTTAACTCAACCTCACTATCCTCGATATTATAAAGTAAATAAATCATATCAACCAATCATTCTTAGACATCACATCAGTTTTAATTCATTATTCATCCACTTACATAATTTTAACTAACCATCACTTCATATCATATCTCTCTTAATTTTACATCCAATAAACTTTAATTATTATCTCATTAACAACAAATCATACCGCCTTTTTCAAATTATCTCTGGTTAACCTAAAAAAAAAATCCAAATAAAATTCCATACTTGTATTCTTTAATAAGGTTAATACATACCAATGATGGTCTCCCCTATAGCTTTGGTATTAGAGAGGTAGGAATACAAATAGGCCATGTCGGTAGCACGAGCGGGAAGAATAGATAGCCCACTTCACACATGAGGTTGAAATTCTTCTCGGGTTCGTGAGGAAGGCCCAGGGGTCTCAGCTCCCTCGTCCGCATGTCATACGAGACCAAGTCTTTGCGCCGCTGCATATAAACTATGTCCGCATTATATGGATGGAAACAAACGAGCTGGGCAGGTAGTGGTCGGCGAGACAAACTACCACCAACCCTAATATCTTCACACCCAACCATATGCTGCAAACACCATCGACCCATATCATAGTCCTCGAGCACGCATATCTTGAGGTGTGAGAAGCCACGCGCACTAAATGGTTCAGTAACTTCAAAATACTTGAGAAGCCCTTGGTGTACGCCACACGAGCTAAAGTTCAACCTGTATGAGACTGATCTGTAACTTCTGTACAGATCCTTGGGAAAATCTATCAAGCGCATTCCATCAGGACTCGTATAAGGATCGTATGCTATAAGCCCAAGCTCACAATCGTCCCAGTGCAGTTTCCCGTCGAGAAACACAGTCTTCTTGTTATCACAAACCCGAACTGCACGCCTGGAGTGAACGGTATATTCTACCCATTTTCCCGATTCGGAACAGAACACCTGGAACTCGATGAAAGATTTTTTCTGGTAATGACAACGGACAAGCACGACCCTGTGGCTGGTTAACATTCCGGCTTCGACCCGTGTGATGAAACCAAAGCTGACATTTGTCTTTGGGATATATTTGGGTCGAGGAAGTGGAAACCACTGGTCGGTCATGGGATTGCAGATGTACAGCTCATGCACGCCCGTAGAAAAATCAGTCCACTTGTACAACACAAACCCGTCATGAATGGCTTGGATGGCGTACGTTCTCCCCTTCTCAGCTTGCTGAGATTTCGGAAGGGGAAGTACACAATAATTAGGGGAAGGGGAGTTTGGAAAAGGATACATAATATCCATTAGTTCTTCCTCCGAAAAAAGGGTCATCTCACAACCTTCAGCACTCATTCTCTTAAAAATAAAAACCCACGGAGGGCGGCGCCAAACCGAGCCCGAGAAAGCAGAGGCTTGCCAGCCTCGAGCGGAGATGTTATAGAAGCGAGAAAAATAAGGATCCGAGATTAGAGAAAGCCACTGTTTTGAGACACTTTTGCATCGGATAACCATCTTAATTGGGAGCCTGGACAGAACTTCCATCAGGACCCACTCGGACCATAGCCCATCTTGAAAACTAATAGTGACCTCAGTATTAATGGCTCCATGTGGACTATCCGCAGATTTTGAAATTATCCTCCTTTTGGAGACATCTGAACCTGTACAACCTCTGAGTTTTCCATTGATTTCCATCTCCATCATCTCAGGCATTCTCGATTACCCTACAGAGAAAGAGAGATGTAAATATCAAGGTGTCCAAAGTGTTATGTAGGTAACCAAGCCTTAGTAACGCAGTAAGTACAACTTATAACTTTAAAAATTCAAGTTCATATAGCACAATAACACAATTTCAAGTGACTGATAAAGGTCTCGACGAGGTAGCAGTTGCACAACATAGGAGATTAGGATCAGAACAGCAAAGAAGACATAATCAAAGTCTAATGAGTGGACTTCATGACTACACAATGCACAGAGTAGTGTTGGAAAGTATGCTTGTTAAAGGTTAAACACTACCCCTTATCATTCATGTCTAAGAATGATATTACTGTTTCCCACAACTTTCAATTAAAACTGCTAAAACTGTCTCCCACCCATTATTTTCCAAAACAATACCAGAACTACATTAAATTGTTCAAATTTAGGTTACAAAATCATCGGCTATGTGATTAAGGTTTCTATCTAAGACGAGGTAAAAGAAACAATCAGATCAATATGATACTTGCTAGGATTCATATACAACCAATGACACTTTAATGGAGAATAACTTGCTCATGGTTAGACTACAATCCAAATGTTTTTTCACAAAAGGATAAAATCTGTAAAAAAAATGGATCTTTTCTGCTTCTCATAAATATAATTTATGAATAAACAACAAGCACAAATTACTTACTTGCTTGCTTTCTTGAACTACTGATTCCTAGGGCTTGTAAAGCGGGCTAATCATTTGGGGGCGGTTCGAACAGATCGGAGCTTATATCCACCGGTTCACTCCTCTAGAAGGAGACCTATCAGCCATCATCACTGACTCTTACAAGAGAGAAATTCACAATCTTCAAATGCTGCCACCAAAAACCTGATAGAAGGGCATTCACAACTTATCAGCAAAATGGGTCTACAGTTCTACACCCCTTTTAAATTTGTGTTCTAAAAACGTTTTTTTTTTTTTTTTTT